GAGGCCTTCTTTATATTAACGAGCCAGTGCTCCTAAACATAATGGCCGCCGAATATAATTGTAGTATGTTGCCATAGCTGGTAATGTTCTGTACAGCATTGTGTTCATTCTCTTAGCGAATTAATATCGCAGGTATGTAATTGAATCCCAAATCACATCCTCCGTACATGTCTTTTGTAATGAAGCAGTAGGGTGCTAAGTCAGGTCTGAATCATAGTTCATAGGAGCATATAATGATAGTGCAATGACTCCCACTTCTGTATTGCTCTTTATGCCTCAGACTCTTTGATTTATTGCAGCCAGGGAAGTTTCTATCTCCTGTGTCGTGCTGCCCTTAGATACAGTTGCTATGTTCTGCACGTTGGTTTGACACAACACTGAGGAAATTGGAGCCCAAAGTTCCCTTCCCAGATTCATTTTCTGCTGTCCTTACTTTCTAATTAACCATTGAATGTTAGTGGGGGAGAGCAACGGGGTAACTGGCAAGCAGTAAGTGTTCACTTCAGTAACCTGGGTGGTTCAGTACATTTTATTCAGGGAAAAAAACAACGTACTATTTTTCTTTTGAGAAAAACGACAAATTGTAATGGCACATTTGTTTGTAATGCTGTACTCCAGGCAAGCGGCTAAATGCACAGTTTATACACTTATGTGAACTGTTTTCTCTGCCAAACGTTTTGTAATTCTGCACAGCTAGCTTTCTGTACCAGGCACTCCTACTAACGACATCGTTAAAGCCTTGACCTCCACTGCAAGTACACCACAACTTGGACAAGAACATGCCCCCAGCATGCTGATTGGAAAATAGAGGAGCTGCAGCTCACTCGTGAGTCATCCTTCTGCTCAGAGTGTTCTCCCTGTGGGCATGTTCACTGTCAGGTTTACTCAAATGACTGCAATTGCAACAGCTGCAACTCACCCAGAGAAATCGTCCATTGTGTGCAGATACGTTTAGAATATGGTCTGGCTGTTCTGATTTCCTCCATCTAAAACGTCAGCTTGGTTGCAGGGGAAAGCGGGTGTCAGGCATACTTCACATGGAAAAAATATGACTCTTTACCCTACCCCATCCCTCGTTTCCGACTCTTTCCTCTCTCCCTTTTACCACCCCATTTGCTTTCTCCCCCGTCTCCTCAATTGTTCCATTATGTTATTTATTACAGGTATTTATATAGCGCCTACATTTACACAGCACTTTGTGCTAGCCACTGTGCTGGCCCATGCCACTGTGTTATGCTTCCTGTACCTGTCCCCTTTCCCTATTGCCCATTTCCCCCCCTCTAGCTTGCCTGTATCACCCCTGACCCCCAACTCCTAAGATGGATACCCCGATTCTCAGCCAATATTTACCATTTTTTTTCTTCCAATCTCTGCACTCTTTAAGCCACATAAACCCATTTGGGGCTCTCCTCCTGCGTTCTTTTCTTGTTTTGCTACATCCTACTTTAAATTGTCAGTTTACTGCAATTTTATGTACTATTTGAATGTTGTATTGACGACATGATGTGTAGGGGACATCAATGCTCTTGTCTACTTGATATAATTGTTGCTCCTTACTAAAAAAAAAACAACCTCTTTTGAAAAGAAAAATAATACATGCTCCCGATACATCTCCTTTCCTGTGTTATATACATGAAGACACTGGGCGGCATGTGACAATTCTGAGCCATTCGAGGTGCTCAGAATCTCAATGAACATGCTTGGTGCCAGTAAAGTGATATTCATATTCCCATGAGCATGTATATATTATATTATACTTCTATATCTGTAGCTTTTGTAGACCTGTGAGAAGATGAATGTCAAAATATTATCGCTGTCAGACACTCTTAGTATAATGTGTATTTTGCAGATCACGGGACCACTTTAATGTGTCATGGCATCTTTATACAGGTGAAACTCGAATAATTAGAATATCGTGCAAAAGTAATTGCAGTAAGTGCTGCAAAAGGGGCCCAAACCAAGTACTGAGTACATATGCATGCTTGTACTTTTCAGAGGTCCGATATTGTTCTATGTACAATCCTTGTTTTATTGATTGCATGTAATAATCTACTTTTTTGAGGTTGTGGATTTGGGGTTTTCATGAGCTGTAAGCCATAATCATCACAATTATGACAAATCACGGCTTGAACTATCTTGCTTTGCATGTAATGAGTCTATCTCATATATTAGTTTCACCTTTTAAGTTGCATTAGTGAAATAAATGAACTTTGCACGATATTCTAATTATTCGAGTTTCACCTGTATATGCGTATTAGTTTTTTGTTCATTTTGAGGTTTTGTAAATCTGTCCGTGAGAATCCCAAGGTTGTGCATCACAGGAGTAATGCCCGCAGCAAAAAATAGCATTGTCTAGCTTTAGAGCACCTCTAGTGTCTGCTTACATAATCTTGTGAAGAGTATCATTTAGCCCAGAGTTCTATAAAGTGTGGGACATGCGTTGTGATATTTTCCCTTGTTGTAGTTGTAGTTGTAGTAGTAAGACCTAGAAGATGGTGCCTGGCTCCTGAGTAGCAAATCTGATCATTCCTCATTAAATACAAAAATGAACCAGCCCTGGAGTTTCAAATTAGAATATTGAACATTTTCTGGGGTTCTTTTTCTAGAAGTGGAGGAGAGAGAGAGAGAGTTGATAGCAGTTAGATGTTAGTAGAAATTCTGTCCTTGCGTGTGACGTCCCCTTATAAAGTTTAAGTTTCGTGGACTTTGTAAGTTGAACAGCCGGTGCCTAACCCCTAACACCGCTCTTCATGTATAATGTGTCTGATTTCTAATTTGGGATCTGGCGCTTTTCAAAATGTAATTTTCATACTTACATTTATAATTCATATTCCTTTGCAGTCTGAAGCAACATCCCCAGACTGAGCCTCATTTGCGATCCATTTTTATCCTGCTCATGTGTAAAATAAGATATTAAATCATGATAGCACATATAAAATGTAGTTTTAAAAGGGCAATTAGACCGGCCTTTTGTTAGGAGCATAGAAAAGGAAAGGTATAGATTTTTTTATTTGTTTTTCTTCTACATCAATCTATAGCAGATTTCAGTCATTTTCCCATTCTGTTAGAATACTGCTAACATCTGATCATGAAAAGCATTGTTTCTTGGGGTTTTTTTTAACCAGTTTTCATACATAATCAGATCTCCTTATAGTGAACCTTTAGTTATACAGTTGCACAGTAACATTCACCCTAGTAGAGGAAGGCAGCACTGGAGCTAATCAGGCTATGCTACCTACACATGTGCTGTGGTGAACTATATGAAGATTGATGGTTCTTTAAAGCCCATCTCTGGGCAAACCAAAAAGTACCCTCGTAGTAGAGCCACACTAGAAGGGATAAGAGGTCATTTTTGTCTAGGGGCTGGAGTAAAGCAAATTTACTTACCTGAACCCCACTCCCCCAGAGGTCGGTGTTCTCCTCTTCCCACCTCTGGTCCAGTTGGTGGAATGTCCCTTGACATCCTTGCTTCTCACGCAGGTCTGTAGAGCATGTATTGTAGGTCTTGTATGGGTTGTTTTTAGGCTAAATTTCACGTTTGACAGAGGTTTCTGTAAATAGCCAAGGATATGGTTGCTTTAAGATTGTGTGCTTATAGTGACAAGAAATGAATTCTGTTCTTCAAAGCAAGCTTTCCCAACTCTTGATAAGATTGACTTACCTTCTGTGCAAAAAGCTTCTAGGCACCGTTAACTAAAGGTGCACTTGCTTCAGATCTGCTTAATCATGAGGCTGATATGGAATCCTCTCTAGTAATAAATTCTAGCAAAAGATGAGCAGATGATATTCAACAAACAGCAGGTGGGGAGGCATCTGCCTACCCTGAGAAGTGCCAGAACCTACCGCACTCCACCTTGAGGCTCAGCTGTCAAGCAAAAGTGTTGCATGCACAATTGTCTGTACAAAAACAAGTGTCTTTAATGGTTGGAAGCTTGTTACCTCTCTCTATGCAAGTCCTTAATTGCCCAATTCTCATCCTCATGTTCCATCAGGCTGTCGGATTAAGATCCGGAAGGGGAATGTTTATGGCCTCCCTTAATTCTCAATGTTTTACACGGGCTGATCATGATTGTGAATTTCTGTGTGGAAGTGTGTTCATGAACCTGTACCGTACAATTGCTTCAACCAGGCTATTGCTAAGAGGTTGAAAGTAAAGAGGCATAGAGTGCCCAAACTATGTGAAGGACCGTTTATTAGAACAAATATATCAAAACAATATTGTACTCAGTGATAAGCAGAGCAATATTCTCCAGTTTCATTCCAACAGGTGCACAGACCCGTTCTGTGTATAGTACAAGTAGTGCTGTTCTTTCAGCAGACTGGCATGCCGCCTCACAGCCCACCTGTGTACTGGCGGTTGACACGTTTCCAGGGGCACGCGCCCTTCCTCAGAACCACTGTTTCAGAGGAAGGGGGCGTACCCTGGAAAGGCGTCATCTGATAGTACACGGGCGGCTGTGAGCCGGCATGCCAGCTTGCTGAATGAACGGCGCTCTGTGTGATTTGTCGGTTGTTGAGAGGAAAGCTCATTAGCGGAAACCTTCGCCGGGAGCGGACATTTGAATTTGAACTGTTATTGCTAAGACGTGTTCTAACTATAAGGCCCCATTAACACTGAGCGATTTATCGCGCGGTAATTCCCGCGATATCGCGGCTATTTACCGCGCGATATCGCTCTCCGATGCATGGCAATGGGGCTCTGTCCGTCGCTGTCACGGGTTGTGCGTCGCTACAGCAGGACCCTCTTTGGAGCAAATTTTGCCGCGATTCTAGCTTGCTCAATGCAAGCATTTTCGCGGTATCGCGCAATTTGCGAATCGCTCAATGTGAATGGGGCCTAAGAGCGCTGAAGGCACATGCTATTCTCATGTCATGAATTGGTTAAACATATTAATGGCAATTTAGTCATTTTCTCAGTGGTTTGGTCTTTTCAATTGCACATATTATATCTGATTAGTAGAATGCCTGATCTCATAATTTGTGTTCTTTTTTTCTTCTAGACAAAATAATGAAAAAAGTGCACCAATACTCTTGATAAGACTGATTGGGGTATAAGCAACAGCCACGCTCATGTTTTCTCCCGATCAAGAAAACCATCCCGCTAAGGCACCTGTGAAGTATGGGGAGCTCATTGTACTGGGGTGAGTACCGTGTTCTTCCTCTTCAATCTTCTTCCAATCCCGAGTCATTGCTAGATCTTTATTCCTTTATCTCATTCTGCCCAAGGATGACCTGTTTTGCAGATGTTGATACATGAAATTGGCTTTGGGACTACTGCCACTTTGCAATGTGTAGTGCCTTTAGTAGGGCATTCCACTTTCTACACCGTTCTGTCTGGAATCACATAAGATGTGGGGGGGGGGGATTAGACAGGGCTTAGGTTAGCTAGACCTAGACAGGGCTGTCTTCTTCCAGCAGTTTTTCACCTTTTTTGTAATGCATTGTTTTCCTTTTAATCTTAACGTGTGGCTCCTGACACAATCAGGGACTATATGTGAAGCAGATACCTTCTTGGTTGTTCTCAGGCTTGTTATGCATCTATTGTGCATACTGCAGACAAGAGTAATGGATACAGAGCAATATTTATGCTAAAATGTGTTTATGATGACCGCTCTCAAAGCTGAGGGAAATATGGCACAGTAAAGTCATCATATTTGCAAAGTTTATTGACATCACTGGAAATATTTAAATGGCTAAGCCATAAAGGTTCTTAGAATCTGACATGGAACTGCTTAAAGTAATCCTGCCATTTGAGGAATTTGGAGCCTGCTAATGCTGACTTCTTCTTTTGAAAATGCTTGGGGCTTGGCTGTCTCATTCTGTCCGGCCCTGTCTGCAGCAGACATCCCAGGCATGGAGAATTGGCAGGTGGATTTCATTTATTTATAATTTTATGCACCCTGGAGAATGATTCCGTCACACAGAGGTCATTTGGAAACTTTCTCAATGGTTCTCCAGGTTCAACCACAAACGACTGGATGTCTTGGGAGCTCTATTGGATTAGTTTAGCCCGATGTACACCCTCTATCCTTTGAAACCCAGGCTTCCTGAATGCTATCATCCCTGTGTCTCAAAGCTAGGAAGTTGACCTCCCGCAAGGTATACCATCACACCTGGAAGGCTTATTTTCTTTGATGCAAAGTGAGGAAGCTTTATTCCAGAAAGTACTCCATGGGACACATCCAATCTTTCCTCCAGTTTTGCCTAGACCATCGTCTAGCCTTAAATACTATCAAGGGCCAAATTTCTGCCTTGGTGATTCTTTTCCAGAGGCCGTTTGCCTCTCACTTTTCAGGGACGCAGGGATTCACTGACATTGTGGCCCCTGCACCATTTGTCTCAGTGGGATCTCGGTTTAATCCTGTCTGCACTATAAGCCATCCTTTGAACCTTTTATAAGGCTATCCCTCTGGTCCTACTTACTCGCAAGGTTGCCTTTTTAGGAACGTTTGTGGATCTTAGGCCTTTCAGCCTCAGACTTTGGTGTCCCAAATCTTTAAGCCTGCCACCTGGTCCTCTGTTTACTCTTTTGCCAAGTTTTACCAAGTGGACATTCAGGCGTCCCACTGACTTGTGGGCCTCTTCTGTATAGATCTCTGTTGGGGTTAGTTGTTGACTTTACAGGTCTGTTGGCCTTTATTTGCTGTGTTGCCTCTGTTGGACAGCGTTAGATGTCCCATACGTTCAAGAATTAACACCCTGTGATGTACGATGAAAAAAACTGGATTTTTGTCTTACCTGTTGAATCTTTTTCTTGGAGCTTACCAAAACTCACACGACCTTCACCTTTGTTTCTGTGATACTCTTTGATTTGCCAATGTCCAATCACCTGAATGTAGCTGCTTAACCCCTGCATTCAAGAATGACCTGCCCTGCATTCTGTGATGTACTCCAAGGGACAGATTTTACAGATCAGACAATTTAATTTTTCATAGATGTGGTGTCATGAAATGTAAAAGCTAGGTGCAAGGGTATATTTTATATTTCTTTTAGGCTTTTATATATTCTGCAAACCTACAGTGGTTGACATGCATATCCGAGTGTAAATTAAGTAATTACAGTGATGACCAAACTACGTTATAAAAATGGGCAATGCATTTCTAGTGCAGATAAACATATAAGTGACTTACCTCTCATTAAAACATATCTTGCGTGATATCCCAGTTCTCTACAAACCCGTATAGGCGGTTAAGTTATTGTAAAATCGCACCTTACAAGTTGTTTGAGTACAACATCCACTGCCATGCAGACAACATCATACTTCCTGGTTCTAACATGTATTGCCTAACTCTATCTTTATGAATAACTGTTTTAAAGTCCAATTAAAGTAATGTTTTTTGTTATTGGTATGGAGTCCGAATGCGTGACAAGTAGAAAATATATGTCAATTTTTCCCCCCATTATTATACGCTAGTGCTTTACAGCTATAGTGGGCTGCCCTGTTACAGCGGCATAGTAGATTGAGACCGCTGCTATCAGCAGAGTGGTCTTGTTCTACAGCAGTCTGCCACCCCTGCACAGCTCTCCAATCGGCAACGCCGGCCAGGAAGTGTGAGCATTGTTGATTGGGTACTGTGTAGAGCACTGGAGATCAGGACTGCTTCACTGTCTGTGTTCGCATTGGTTTCAGATCTCTGGTGACACCGGGCAGTTTGATAGTTGTAAAGCACGTAAACCAAATTAAAAGAAAATTTGGCATATTCATCACTTGTGGCTGCATAAAACAACAATTACGTGTTCAATTAGGATTTAAATTCCAGGCTACCCCCTGCACGCGTTAATTGCTCATTTTGGTCTAGGGACTAAAAGAAAATATGCTCATCCAACCCTTGGCCCCACTTGGCTGTTGGACTGGTCCCACGCAGCCTCTTATTTCCTGGGCTTTATCACTTTATGGACCTGTGACATCATCATGTCTAATGTAGCTGCCTTAGACATGAGGATGCTGAGGGACATTCCAGAGTGGAGGGGAAGAGAGGTGAGCACTGTCTGCCACAGGGCCAAGGATTAGGTAAGTATATTTTCTTTCGTCCAGACCCTAGAGAAAAAAAGAGCACTGAACTCTTGCAGTGCGGGGGTAGCCCCACTGCAAGGGTTAATATTTTAACTTCCTGGAGTTCTTCTTTAAGCCCTGTTTCAAAAAGAAAACAGAAAAATGAAGCTTTGGGCTGCAATATTCACTTTTTCCCTAGCTGTGTCCCCTACTGAACATTTGCTCAGTTCAATAGCTTTCGCCTCTTACTTTCAGATTGCATGACACACAGCCTCACGCAACTCTCAAGTCAGTGCGCAGGCAGTCATAGCGGCAGCCTCCATAGCCCTCTTGACTACAGAAGGTGTAGCCATCTACCAGTGCTGGTTTGTGTCAATCTGCTCCACCTAAAGGACACCTCCAGATCAAGAACTGGGAGGAAGTTGGAGGTCACATAAGCACGCTACTTGAAAGGAGATTATGTGGTAACAAATACTATGTGCAGGGAGGGAAAGGGGTTTAGGCAATTACTTGGTAATTAGGCTTAAGGGCCCATTCACACCATATGTGTTTGGGCTGTGCTGGCCGTTTTTTCCAGCGCAGCCTTAACGTGTGACAAGGCCATTTGCCTTGCCACAGGTGGGTACAGTTCCCACCACCACGTTGCAGTGGTGTGCGGTTAAAACAAAGTACGACCTGCAATTTAATTTTTTTTTTAAGCACACCTCAGTATGATGAGGTACAACCGCATCGCACCAGGCTGTGCCTATAGAACGTAATGAAATTTCAAGTTGTAACAAAAAAAGAAACCTGTCCGGGCACGCGCACATCAGCAGCCGCTCAACCATGCGGCTGCTCGTGTGAACAAGCCATTAAAGTGTATCGCTTACAAAATTGCTTTTCTAGGTGAGTGAGTTGTAAATGGTTAGAATCTGTCAGGTTTGTTTTTTTTATCTCTGAGTTGCACTGGTGACCATAATCACCTGGACAGTATGTGATAGGAAATCCTGTCACCATAACAGTGACGGGAACATTTCCAGTGGGGGACACCTGTTCTGGGGACAAGTGCCTCTGAGGGAATTGTCACTTTAAGGGCTTGTTCACACGGTTTTCTGGTCCAGATCTGCAGACGCGGTGCTATGCGTGCAGTGCGTTTTTGATGCGTTTTCGGCACGTTTTTACCGCGTTCCAGTTTAAAAAAAAAAAAATACTTTTTTCTTTTGGGGAGTGGGTCTGTTAGTATGTTAGCTGCCGTGCGGTGCATTTTCTTTGCGTTTTTGACGCGTTCGTGCGTCAAAATGTGACATGCAGTATTTTCTCTGTCGAAGGGACTGCGCACGTGAGAACTGGCCCATAAAACACATAGGGATACATTGGGATGCATTTTGGGTGCAGGAGCGCACGGTTCTGGTCCAGACACAATCCGGACGTCATGTTAACAAGACCTAAAGGGATTTCCTCTCGCTTCATGTTGTGTTTGAGACGGACAGGAATTTAGTGGAAAGCTATACAGTGCAAAACTGGCAGGGATTCTAATCCTTAGGCTGGGTTCACACCTAGGCGTATGGCATACGCGCGTTTCACCGCGATTCGCGACAAACGCGTGTTTCCGAGGGCTACCTGGCTGTATCCCAATGGATACGCGCGGCAGATACGCCCCAAAGAAGCTCCTGTACTTCTTTGGGTGTAGGGCGTTTTGCAGCGCGTTCCTACGCGCTGTAAAACACCCAGGTGTGAACCATGCCCATAGGCAATCATTGTTTTTCACATGTTGAGCGTTTTACACAGCGTAGGAATGCGCTGTAAAACGCCCAGGTGTGAACCAGGCCTTAGAAAACACTAGAGATGCACTCTAAGGCCTGGTTCACACCTGTACGTTTTGTAGCGCGTTCAACGCTCTACGAACGCTCTACAAAACGCTTGCCGTATTTCAGCCCGTCTGAACGCGCTACAAAACGGCCTACGCTTGAAAAGGTACATGAGATTCTTTGCAGCGTTTTTGTTGCGTGTTTCCATTGGGATACAGCCAAGTAGCCCTCGTTTTTTTTTTTTTACCGCGAAACGCTGTAAAAACGCGTGTCACGGAACGTGCGACAGACGCGCATATTCGATACGCCTAGGTGTGAACAGAGCCTTAGTCAGTACTTGTTTGGTTATTGAACTGACCTCAGAGCAGTGTCACCAGTGAAGCCTGTTCTCTCAGGATCTTCTGCACAGTGTTTTAGAACAGAGCTGCAGGACAGAGTTGAAACTTCAAAGGATTGATGTCTGTTTATCTGGAACATTTGTAACTTGTCAGCTCTCAGCAGAGGACTGCTGAAATAGATGGTTGTTGGACAGTGTTGTTTTAACCCCTCAAGTGATGCTTTCCCAGAGCTAAATTCAGCCTCTGTAGAATACATTAGAAGATGTAACCGGCCAAAAATGCTGATGGCAGATGGAATCTAGCATTGAAGCTGACGACATGTTCTTTTTAGATTAAGTTAAAAAAAAAAAAGTACAGTAAATTCTGTTATCCAGTATTCAACTAACCAGAACTCTCGTCTAACCAGAAGAAAAAAATCTCCTGTGTACTCACTGTTTTGCTGATCTGCGGCATGTATTATCCTTCAAATTATTGTGCGTCTATTTGTTTTAATTTGCTTTTGATTATTGCATTTCAATATTAATATGAAGTCAGTACAGAGTTTGTTATGGTATGGTATAGTATGGGGTATGGCATTAGTTTAGATCTATTTTTAATAGCAACTCTCAAGCAACCAGAAACTACATTTATCCGGAATCTACCAATCCCTGTGGATGCCGGATAACTGAGTTTACTGTATTGCTCTTTTTTGATGTATTGGTTTTATTTATATTTTGAAGACAAATGGGCTAGACAAATCCAAGGTGCCAAGTCTTCTTTCTGTCAGCCTCTTCCGCCACATCAGCTCTGCTACTCCCCCCCCACGTCTTCCG